CTATGGCCGCCAAGCGCCCAGTGCACAGGCAGCGCCCTACCGCCTAGCGCATGCCTGCCTTGCACTACCTCTTAGCGCAGCGCAGCAGCCAGCAGCTCGCATTTGCGCAGCGTGCCGGCATTGCCCGCAATGGCCAAGATCCCCGCTGCCTCTCCCTGCTTGCCTATATTCCAGTGCAGCGTGTGGGCGGCCTCCCTTCAGCCTGTGACCGGGGCCCAGAGGCTGAAGCCAACTCGATACAGTTGGGCCCTGGGGCAATGCAGTTGCGCCTCCTTCATCAAGGCCTGCGGCCAGATTCAGACAGTGGGCCGATTTCCCTTTGGCATTTTCGGCCTCTCTACCCAGCATGCATTGTCGGCCTCACGTTCGAGTGCCCAGGGCCTAACTAACTCAGAGGCCCTGGGCATTTCAGCATTTGCTGAAGTCCGAGACTCGGTGCACTCCAACCAACTGGCGTGCTGCAACTGTATAGACCCCACTTCGTGAAATGTTGGCACAGAGGGCTCTTGTTGATTTGCTGGCCTGGCTTCACTTAGGGCGGGCACTAGGCTTGCTGGGGCCTTAGCCCAGAACATGTACACCATGGCAAGGCCCCTACTTGAGGGCTCAATCCTCACAATTATTGCAGCGGGCCGAGGTAAAACATGCCGTCAATAATGGTCGAGTGGCAGCTTAGTACTCTAGTTCTGAAGCAGATCCATTAGTAAGTGCTTGTGTAAGTTTAATGTAATTTACTAATTTGTCAACCTAGTGAAATGCTTTATGGCAAGTGCGCGATGTGGTGCATCTGTGTGTTGTCCACTCTGATCCACAGTATCTAGGGGGGGACAGGGTTGGGGTCTTCCTTGTTAAGCTAAGTTTGGCTATTTGGGGGTGAGTGTTCCGCGTTAGGAAGTTCTTTATGTGTTTTTATTTTGGACTTCCAAAACATGGGAGTGCGGCAGGTGCCATTCACATATCGACCTTCGGCGTGTTCTTTTGGATTATGTTGTGTGGTGAATGTTGTGATGCAGCAAACCGCTATGGGAGATAATAGCTCACCTTGTAACGGCCGTGCCGCTGCCAACCCCAGGGAAAGGGCAAGTTCTCTTTGCAGTTGAGAACTGCCTTCTTTCAACGAGTGCTCCAATCAAAGATGGCCTACCACTTGCTGATGTGTGAACACTTACCCTTCCTTACCCCTCCGCCCTCATCATAACAAGTCTTTTTGGCCCTCACAGTTTGTGAACTTCCAACATTACAGGGTCTCTATTCTTCATGTCAGTGCATTTGCCAATCTTGGGTGCATGTATTGTCTAGTATCAGAACGGATGTAGTTTTCCTGTATGTGGAGTGTGGTGCTGTGCACACGCTAAGTCTGTTGTGAGCTAGGCTGCAAGAGTGGGCCAGGACCACTTGCCTGGCCAGGCTGAAAAAAGAAAGCATTTTTTAATTTTATTTCTTAATTTCTATTTCATAAAGAATCTCGGTGTGACCCTGACACTAAAGCTATTCAGTTCATTATTCTGCATAACAGTCATATCATAGTTTTCTTTTCAGATATCTTTTTGTTTTGTCTTTTCCAAGGACCTCGCTTGACCCTTGCCTGCTCGGGCCACCTGGGCAGGCAAAGGTGGCTTAGGCGGCCTCGGTTGGTATCCCAGGTTGTGAGTGTAGCACGGTTCATCTTATGACGCACATTCAATCCGAACAGTTGGGATGAGTGAATCACAGACTGTGATATCATGCCATGCGTGCAAAGATCATGACATGGTAACTCTTATGTGCTTTCCCCAGTCCTGTTCTGCCACACGGTCGAATCAGGATCAGGTCCAATCAGCCCTGCTTGCAGCCAAATGTTTCAAATTTCAGAAGTCATTACACAAGCGTATGATTATCGAAGCTGGCTAAGAAGTCACCCAGCCAGGCTTGCGTGGGCTGGCAGTGGGCCCGGGGTTCGGCTGTGAAGTGGGCAGGCTGTGCAGTTCTCCGGATTTTTTTTATTTTTTTTTTAACTTGGAGGCTCTTCTCTGCTCATGGAGAGGATGAAGAATCCTGCCTTATATCTTGAAAACAAGAAGTCGGGGTTTGGTCTGGGGTGGGGCGCTGGGCTGGAGGAGGAGGTGGGACGAGGCTGATGAGAGGATGAAACCTGGAGAAGGAATAATGAGAATAAAAAACCTTTCCTTGGCAGTGTGTCACGTGGGATGCAACGGAGGACCGGGGATGAGGATGGAGGAGGGAGGAGGAAGGATGAGGAGCGAGGAGGAGGAGGAGGAAGCAAGTTGATGATGTGAAGGAGATCCTGGAGCAGAATTAAGAAAATGAACTTCATGTGCCGAGTGCCAGGTAGCACGCGATGGAGAAGAGAGGAGGATGGAGGAGGAGGGAAGACGAACGAGAAGACAAGAGGGACGAGGAGGAAGGAGGAGGAGGATAGCGAGAACAGCAAGACTTCCAAGATTCAAAAAGATCACAAACAATTGTGTGCTACATGACAGGAGGAGAGATGACGAGGAAAGAGGGCATAGGCCGGCGAAAGAGGGACGAGGAGGGAAGAGAGCAGGGAGGAGGGTAAGGGACGATGAGGAACGAGGACAAGGGGAGACGAGGAGGGAGGAGGAGGAGGGAGGAGGAGAAGGGATGAGGAGGAGGAGGGAGGAGGATAAGAACGCTTTGCAGCACAACTGTTACATGCTGCGCCTGCACACGAGGGCCATTTTCCAGGCCCTGCGTCCCTCAGGCTGAAAGCCTGAAATCCAGGGCCTACAGGCTCGAAAGCCTGAAAAACAGGGGCGTACAGACCCTGTGTCGTTGAGGAACGAGGACAAGGGGAGACAAGGAAGGAGGAGGGAGGAGGAGGGAGGAGGAGGAGGGAGGAGGATAAGAACGCTTTGCAGGACAACTGTTACATGCTGTGCCTGCACACGAGGGCCATTTTCCAGGCCCTGCGTCCCTCAGGCTGAAAGCCTGAAATTCAGGCTGAAAGCCTGAAAACCAGGGCCTACAGGCCCCGTGTCTGTTCAGCTCGAAAGCCTGAAAAACAGGAGCCTACAGACCCTGTGTCATTTCAGACTAAAAATGGCAGTAGCCTTTTTAGCCTGAAACGAAGGGCCATTTTGGGTCTTTCATCAGACCGACCTGCCCTGAAACTCAGGCACCAAACCAGGGTTTTAGGAACAGGCTATTTTTGGCCTGTTCCCACGACAGCTGCAGTGCCAGACCCTGGCTCAGTTTGGCATTGGCAAGAGCAGCCTCCTGGACTGCCCGCCCTGCCACTGCAGGCAGTCGGAGGCAGTCAGGAGGCAGGCGGAGGTAGTACATAGGGACTTCCCACGCACTTCACGGCCAGGCAGGAGGCAGTCAGTAGTCTTCAGGATTCGGCAGAAGCACTCTGGAGGAGCGCTGCAGGAGTAGTTGTAGTGTTAGCAGTAGTCTTCAGCGCTGGGCACTAGTAGCGTTAGTTGTAGTCTTCAGCGCTGGGCGCAATAGCTAGAGTAGTACTAGAGAGAGAGAGAGATTGGGCGGAGGCTAGGGATACTTACCTGCAGCGCCGTTGCTCCAGCGTTGTCTTCCTGCAGCACAGCGCCATCGTCACAGGTTGGTACCTGACACATGAGAGAGAGAGAGTTCTTCTTCTTCCTCTTCTCAGTCCACCATCTCCTTCTCGCCCTCTCGCTATCTGACTTCACTGCATCAGCAGACTACGAGAGAGAGAGAGAGAGAGAGAGGTTGGTGACATTTGGATCCAGACTCGACATTGGACTTCAGACATTTTGAAGAGGGATTATTTGGGACTTGTAACGAGACTTGGTGTTGACGACTTTTCCATCTCCCCCTTCCTCTTCTTCGTCTGATCCCCTCTTCGTTTGTGTATGTCGGGACCTGGCGCCTCTTTCCTCTGTATAGCGCCAGGCCCCATCACACCTTGTGACGAGCATGATGTATGTTTAGTCTGCGTTGAACAATGAGCGGGCTAGTCCTTAGTATTCTAGCATTCTGCTTCGCTATCTTGTACTACGTGAAAGAGGTCAGTCCCGGTCAGGTCAGGACTTGTATCTAAAGTCTTCCCTGCGCTATGAAGCACCATTTTGTATGTATCGGAATGCACATTGCTTGTTGAGATTCCACTTGCACTGCATTGTCCATTCAGTCCGTTTTATCACATTGCGGATCCTCGGTTTATATCATGGCTACGCCAGACGCGGACCCGAACATTTCCGGACATGGAACCGGTGTCGGTGCGAATACCCTGACAAGGGTATCCGCCCTGTTTTTTGCAAGCGAGAGAGGGCAAGTTTGGTTTAAAATCTAAGTATACTGCGCAAGGCGCGGCTGAGTCTGCGGTTTACATTAACAGGATGGTTGATTAGAGTAGAGGGTGAGTGGGCGCGCAGTTTTTCGTCGCGCGTGTGATCTTTCTCATTCTTGATCATGACGCCGGACATCTGGGTTGGTTTTGATTATTGATTGGTTTACCACATTTGGCGGCAGTAGGGTTGGCATGTGGGGTGGCGTGTGTCATGGCCACAACGCAGTGTGTGCTAGCCGACAGGGATGCCTGGTGGTTGTGGGTTGGCTGCAGATAGAGATATGGCCCAAGGCATTTTGAGCACTTGCATGCACCACTTTATATAGGATCCCGGGCGTGCCGGTACCAGGCTTGGGCTCAGCCCTATAGGCTACGGTACTGGACTTACACGACGGAGATACGGGGTTCGAGGTCAGCGGGCGACAACGTAGGAGCATTGAAGGGCTGAGGGGTTGAGGGTCCCGCGGGACTATCCCCCTTAGTTTTGATGGGGGAAGCAGAACGCGGGCCCGTTTGTTTCGAGCTTTTATTGATTTTTTTTTTTTTTTTTCCCCTATATATATGCTATTCCTTGATTTGACCGGTGCCGGTTCCAAGCCGGGCCGAGAACCCAATGAGTGTGGCTGGACCGTATAGCAGAGGCACGCAGCAACACCAGCGTGCAAAACGTTCTTCAGGCGCACGTGTAGCCGCAAAAGCCAACCAAGCCGTGTAGTAGTTGCTCCCCTTTTAAAGTTTCTTTCAGGGTGTGCTTACACTAGCCATATCTCAAATGTATTTGAGCGCATTTACGGCCATACATGCATGTATCAGGTTGAAATTCCGTCCAAAAAATACGTAGATAACTCGTAGTGTGAGTAAGCCCTCAGAATTGGCCTAAGGGTGACGGGCTCGCGCAACTGTAGGACCGCGCGCCTCAATGACCGGGCTGACGGAGGACTGCGCAAGCCAGATCTCCTGGGAGCGCGTGCACGGTGGTAGAAGTTTGCGGTCGGCGCTGCTGCAAGGCATAGATTTCGAGCGCTACAAGCCAGGAATACAGACGGGGAGCATCGAGCGGGAGAGGTGAGTGGTGGAAGGGACCCCGGCGCGGTTTCGTGCCGGATACATTCGATAAGGAAGGAGTCGGAGATGGCGGGCAGACGAGGGGAGTACAGCGGAGAATGGATATCTAGCACGATTCTTAACGGAATCGGGGGAGAAAAGAACCTACCTAGGGGTTTTGGAGTAAGGCGCATCCGGTTTCGGTGTTAGTTTTAGCAATAAGACAGCTGGCTAGGAGGTAAGAGAGAGGAGCCCCGCGCGAAGCTGTTGGAGTATGGATATGGTGAAGGAAAAAAAAAGTTGATTTGTGCGCCCGTTCCTTGACGAAAACGAGCGAAAGGGTCGTTCCTAGTGTTTTGGGGGGGGAGGGCGACCTCAAATCCGAAGTTACTTTTAAGGAATTAGTAGGAAAGGGAGGTTAGTAGCGAAAGTTAGTGCGAGGGGATGGCGGAAAGGTGAGTGAGGCGCAACAGAAAGAGGACGGCTCGGGCGACTCTCGACCGGATTAAACGGTGGAGGAGGTAATCTTGGGATTTTTTTTCCGGCGAATCGACTGGTGGTGTTGGGTTTTGTAGATAGCTGGTGTGGGGGGGAAGACGATGCGTGAAGGATATGGAGGAGACAGGAAGAGGAGGAGGGTAGAGTGTGTAGCATGGCCGAACGGGAACGGAATCAGGCCGGGAGAGGAGCGTTCCTACCATTTTTTGAGTGGGCGGATCCGATTGTACAGATAGAATAGGGAGATGAGGGGTAGATTTTGTGTTAGCATGAGTATGAACTGCGTTGGGAAAGTAATTTTTTTTTTATTATAGAAAGCATG